ACGCGGGTGGCTGCCCCCATTCTGGCCCAGTCAGGACACCCGAGAGGAGGAGGCACACACTTACACATCCGAGTGGCAGGCTGGCACGGTAAACTCATCTTTGAGGAGATCAAAGGTCACTTTAATCCTTTCATCACACAGCCTCCTCAGTCCCCCAGGGGGTGGTAGGGACACTCGCATCAAAAGACAACCATCTCGAAAAGAGCGACTCACCAAAACTTTAACTTCCTTCCATTCAACAACAAAGGCTCTTTAAGAACCCCAAAGACAACACCAAGAAAGTCTAACTTCATCACCGTGATGCTGTGATTACACCCATAGGCTCTGGGTAGAAAAACGAAATCACAGACTTTGCCTTTTTCTCCCTTCTTTTATAAGGGAGACAGTCTACAGCGGCTATGAGAAAACATAGAATGTAGCATTTGAGAAACTAAACCCAAAATGTCCTGTTGCTTGTACATAAACTATTCTCTCCACTCTCTCATTTAAACAGTTTCGCTATAACTGCAATAGACATAGCTCCCCTGATCTCTCTGTTCTGCTGGGTACGTAAATTCTCACCTACAAAGTCACCCAGGGTGAACTCCAGCTCTAGGCTCTCTCTATCCATGTTATCCTCCAAGGATTTTCAGTTAACAGCCAACAAAACTTCTCAGCAGCCTAGGATGATGGAATCCAGTTGCCCAATTCAGAGTTTGCTAACTAGAAATCTTGCCATTGGATAAAACGATCATCTTTATCAAGGTGGCCTTAATTACTAGTAAACTAAGGGTAACAGTTCATTAAAGACCTTTCTAAACACCTGAGTAATTTTAAGTTTCTGATCTCCCTCAGTGATAGCTTGCAAATAAGAAACATAATCAAATGTATCTGGCTATCATATTACTACTACATGAATAGGAACTTAGATAAATCTCCTCTATTACTTTTTTTAGAGGAAGATATTTACTGGAGTTCATACCCCATGTAGATTCACACGCCATGATATAATGAGAGAGGCTCCTGTACCCACGGGGGCTCCTGAACACAGTGAGGCCCACCCTTTCAGTTTGAATATAGTAATAGCAAATGAGAGGATAAGCCAAGAAATATATATATATTTTTGGAAAACATTATTTTTTCCTTTTGACATAAATAAAGATCTAGTGGCATCATGAAGGCCTACTATTTAACCATTTTTCATGGGAACTTTTTCCAGCAATCCATGTGAACCATATCTTGAAATTATTAAGTATGTATCCTCAACTTATAATAAAATGTGATCAAAACACATTCTATGTTGTTTTCATATTCATGAAATTTTAGATTTATGCTATTTTAGAAATAATTTCTGACAAAGATAGCATTATAATATGAAATGGATCAATGTGTGAGTCACCGATGCAATATGCAACCATGTCCCAGGAACTATGACAGACACTGGGGATCCTACAAGGAAAACCCTAGGGCCTCCCCACGTGGCAGGGGAGAGAGAGAAATAAATCAAAGATTACGTGGATTTTAATGAATGGTGTATGGAAATCACCAAGAGCACCACAGGAGCACTGAAAGGTGCATCTAACAGCTAGCAGTAGACAGAAAAGGATTCTTTGGGAAAGTGGTATTTCAGGGGAGTCTTGAGCTGTGAGTGAGAGGCAGCAGATGAAAAGGAGATGAGGTTACAGCAAGAAGAGCAACAGAGCACAAAACCAGGAGGAGGCAGGAGACAGGCCACTGCTCCGGGAATGGCGATTATCTCTGGAGTACAGGGAAATAAGGATGAACACGTTCACGATCGAAAAGGTCTACAAAGTTGGGGAACACAGGCTTTAAATTTTTAGAAAGATCATTCTAACCGGTGGAAAGAACGGATTGTGTGAAGGCAACAATGGTGGGGACAGGGAAATGAGTCCGGAGCACATCTTGGTGACTCTGCTGAGAGGTGGCTCACACGGCCTTTGAACTCAAGCTGTTTTGCTAACCAAGGGGACAGAGGGCGTGAGAGCTAAAAACTCGGGAAATAAACAGAAGGTAGATTTCAAAGAACGTGGTAGCTAGCCTGATGGATGTGTAGAAGTGGAGCTAACTGAGATGACCCCAGGGGCCAGGGGCATGGTGGTTGAGTGGATGGTGGTTCCATGCATGTAACTGTGAATGGAATAGGCTCATGGGATGGTGGAGAGGAAAAGCAAAGGGAACAGAGTTAATGAGTCCAATTTTTAGCATGTAGTTTGAGGCTGCAATGAGATAGCAAAGTTAAGATGTCAACTAAGATATGTGCATATGAGTCTTCAATTTTTAGAAAAAAGTTTGGGCTGAAGACAAAGATCTGAGATGCAATCTCCCAGAGAAAGGGCAGATCCTTAAGGAATAGGGACATGCAAGTGCAAAAAGAATAGCTGTTTAGGGAGCCAGGGCACTTAAATCTCAAATATTCACAGTTAACATTCTGTGTGAGAGAAGGAATTCATTCCTTAACATGAATTAAATAAACAGCTACCCTGTTCTTATTGGAAACACATACACACACAGGTTAAGCTAAAATTTGAAAGAGATTTTAAACAAATTCCCTTTTTCCTTTGGTAAGGAAGAAAGACGAGAGGCAAATAAAACAGAGGAAACAGTCCTAGTAAAAATAAGGAAGGGAGAAAACAAGAGAGAGAGAGAGAAAAGGTAGACAAGAAGGGAAAGCAGGAAATAAAAGAATGAAAAGTCTTCCAAGTTTCTCTTTCCTCCGTGAATGCAACAGTGAACTTCACACAAGTGATGGCCAAAGCATAGAAAAGCTTGAAGGATTCAGAAGCTTCAAGAAAACTTGTAGGAAGATCTTAAAAGAAAGGCTCACCTTAAACTTGAAACTCTACTTGGAAATCCAGTAGAAGACGTTAGGTTTCAAAACAAGGTCTAGTGAAAGGAAAACAGTCTAATCACAGAGGATGAATGAGAGGAAAGTGAGAGAACTTAAGGTTTAGTGAGCAAGTATTACATGGTGACTAGGTTTTTCACTTTGTTTTGAAAATGTGCTTATCTGTACCCATTTTCTAAAAATATAGTGTTGAATAACGATAATTTTTCATAAGCAATAATAAATATCTTTGTTATTTTTAAAGTTTTATAAATATTTGTTTTAAAAATGAAAAGCATATTATTATTCCTGTTTCCCATGGTTCTTTCCTATGGCCTGGGGCTGTTTTGGTAGAGGCACCACTTCCCCCCGCTAGGAAGTAAGGAACAGGATTTTTTAGTTGAGGCCGCTTCTCGAACACCTGCACAGCTAAGTACCACAAGAAATGACATCATATATCACATGTGCCATGAGTACAAAAAGAAAACAACTATTTATACTTTTTTATACGTGAAGAAAGCCCAAATGAATTCTTAACAATTTCATGTCTGACAAGGCTATTAAATATAGAAGCGGCAGGCATGAGACTATGAGCACTTCGCCTATAGATAGTAAAAACTTAGTTTTATTCTATCTTCTTAACAAGCTAGCTCCAAGTGACCCAACAACATAGGCTACAGTACAATCTCAGAGATGGCTTTTCACATATTAGTTCATAGATTTCTGCCAAACCAAGGTTTTATGGCTTAACTCTAACATTTCTAGGGAGGGGGTTAGGTGAACCACATGCAGTTGCTGCCATCACACCTTTTTTTTTTTGACATATAAACACAGTAACTGTATACCCAAACCTAATAGAAAGTAAAGGCAGGGAGGACAGGAAGCATCTGGAATGAGCTAAGAGTTTCATTCACTGCAAGAGGTAAACAAAGCAAGAAATACACTAAATGACACCCCCGGAAAAATGATCTAGGAAAAGTTCCGGGAAAGTCCAGAATCTGGAAGGAAAGGAAGCAAAGGATAGAGAATCTCTCTCACCCCAGCATCAGATGTAGAAGCAGATGCCAAAAACTGAAACCCTTAGAGAGCACTGCCTAATGCTGTTCCTCAACGTATGCCCCTGCAGAGAGAGAGGTGCAGTGCGGTGTTGGCAGTGAGCCAGGGCACCTGCACCGTTGCTGTTCTAGGCACTTCTGTAGATTGTCACATTGACTCAGTAGGGACGTGGCAAAGCATGCCCTTGCTTTTCAGGCACCACAAGGGAGGCAGCCGCTCAGTGTAGATAGGTAACCATGCATCACAGGCCACAAACAGGAGGAGCACCTTTGAGGGTCCCTGACTGTGACAAAGAATGGCCCAAGGCTAAACCCTGAAATGAACATAGGCATATGGGCATAATATATAGGAGATACCCAGAAAGATACTCCATATCGCCTTCTTTCTCCACCTCCTTCTCCAACCCCACACAGACATTTAAGTCACTAGTTGGAGTAAGGCACACTGTAAAATGAATATGCATTCTAACTATCTAGGCATTATCGCCTTATCTCAAATCAGTTTATCAAAATGCCCAAGGAAGGGAAAACTCCAGGAGGATACTGTGTGCTCAGGGGTCAGGTTAGGTCTGCACGATAGGACGCTGCCCAGAAAGGTAAACCGAGTTGAAGCAGGAGCCGAAAATGGGAGCAACAGGGAAGGGACGATTCACTGACAGGCAGAAAGGGTGCAATGCGGACAGGCAAGCCACAGACCAGCTCTGCCAGCCTCCTGCTGCGGGACAAGCCAACACCCTCCAGGTGACCTGGTATAAAGAGCAGACTACCTCTATGCCTCCCTAAAACAAAACAAACAGGGACACATTTATGCAGATACACTTTACCAGCCTGGAATCACTCTCAATGACTGTCTGCTAGTCCCAGTAAACATACACTCAAGAGGTCGGTGAAGGACAATCGACTATCTCACATACAGTAACAACTTCTAAAAGAAGGGTGTGATAACTGCATAATAAACATGGAGAAAAAAATATACGCTCCCAAGAGAGAGAGCAAGGAAATGCTGAGTGTCCTGGACTTTTTCCTCTCCCGACACAGTGAGGTCCCAGACCATGCACATGCTCTGCGTTCTCCTCTCTGAGGTCTTCCTGTTATGCAAGGTAGGCAAGGAGCAGACTCACTCGTTGAGTAAAGGCATGGACGTTCTCCTCTTGCTCTTCTGCACCATGTTGGCCTGATTCCTCAGGGAGATGCGAATCATGGCTGGGGCCAACCTACAGGGCTCCCCATCCACTTGCATGGGGATGGATTTGTACGTTAGAAGCATGACTTCTCGACACTGGTGTAGCCTTTCTCCGTGGCCCCCAACTTGGAGGGCAGCCTGGAAAAACAAGAGTCAAAGGATACCAGTGTCACGGAGGACAGATGTTTTACAAGCCAGTCCCATCCAATGTTTAAGGAAAGACGGTGTCTATTTAATACAAGTTGCTTTAGAAAATATGGTGCTATAGATTCTAAAATATCAAAACCAGCTAAGACAGTACAAGAAAATAAAATTTTGGCCTAAATTACATTTATAACCACACATGTCAAAATCCTTTAAAAAAAAAAAAAGCTAATTGCTCCCATTAACCTTTTTCTTAGAAAATAAATTTATTATGGATTATTATAGGAATTAAGAAATTTAAGAATAGTTCAACTGCAGAAAACATGATTATAATTTCACCATATTAGTGGTTTAAGTGAGAAAAACCACATTATCACCTCAAAAGATTAAGGAAAAAAATAAAAAGTTCAATGCTTTTCATGATAAAAAATTCTTTAAAAATTAGGAATAGAAAGTAACTTTTTTAACTGATAAAGGCCACCTACCAAAATACTTAGAGAAAACATTATTCACAACAAAGAAAATTCACAAGCATTCCTTTCAAGAGACAAGGAGGTTACCTATTTATTAGCAACAAAACTTTTCAACATAATATCGGAGGCCATACGACTTTTATACAGAAAACTTCAAAACTTTATTGAAGGAAATAAGGGAAGACTTCATTAAGCAGAGAGTCATGCTACAATCAAGGATAGGACAATTCCATTTTCTAATGATTTTAACTTTTCTAAATTAATATACAAATCCAGTGTAATTCAAATAAATAAGAGAAATAATTATTTGGGGGAATATTGTTGTAATAGTTCATTTTATGTGTCGACTTAGCCAGGCTACAGGAGGACCCAGATATTTGGTCAAACATTATTCTAGATGTTTCTGTGAAGGCATTTTAAAAATGAGATTAACATTTAAATCAGTACATTTTGAATAAAGCCGACTGCCATCCAGAATGTGGGTGGGCCTTACCCAATCAGTGGAAGACTCTAATCGAAAACAGAACAACCTCCCCAGAAGAAAAAGGAATTCTAGCAGCATTCTGCCTTCAGACTGGAGTGGCAACATCAACTACCCCCTGGGTCTTAAGCCGCAGGCCTACCCTGCAAGTTGAGATTTGCCAGCCTCCACATTCACATGAGATAAAAATAAATTTCACACTCTCTCTCCCCCTCCACACACACACTCACCCCATACACATACCCTATTGGTTCTGTTTCTCTGGAGAACCCCGAATAATATACTTGCCAACCTGATTCTATAATTAATTTGGAAGAATAAAGGTCCGCAGATAACCGAGGATAGTTTAGAAGAAGAAGAGCACTAGAGAGCAGACTACTCATCAGATAGCGAGACATGTAACATTTAAAGACGCAGTAATTAAAATAGTGGTGTCTGAGCAGCTAAAAGAGAAGGCCGAGGAAATGATCAGGGAGAACGGAAGAGACTCACACGTGGGAGGACGTGGAATATGTTGATGTGACATTATACAGCTGTGAAGAAATGATGGATAATTTAGTCAATGGTGCTGGGAATACGTCTCACTATACAGAGAATAACAAAATCATCCCCCCACATCACACACAAAGAAGCAAGAAATATAAATATAAAAACTAGCGGGCTAAAAGAGAGGAGAGAGGAAGCATTTTTCCCCATCTCTCTCTCTTTTTAAAGCAGTGTCTGGCAGCAGCTAATTCTCCTCTGTGCGTCCACTCCCTGCGGGGAAGCCTTCCCTCCAGGCCGCCCCTCTCTGTGGCCCAGCTCAGACAGGCAGCCCCTGCAGTGGCTCCGGCCCTCATGGGAGTGATTCCCTCCTCCAGAGTCCCAGCTCCCGCCTGGCGACTCTCCCAGCCCAACCATCAACAGGCTTCTCTCAGTAACACCTCTATCCCGCAGCCTGGGGTCCTGGGTGCTAATAACACCATCTTCTCTCCCTTTGTCCCTCTAGCTCTAGAGGAGACAGAGACTTTCTGCAGTTGTGATCTATGGACTGCTAATCTATTGGCTGCCTTCTTTTCAATTCTTCTAACATCCCAAAACTAGTCCCCTGTATTAAATAGATGGAATAACCCTGCATGAGCTTTGTTCTTCTCTGATACACTCACTGCACTAGTCATCAAGATGAGAAATTTTACTTAAGTAATTTGCAGTGGCACCAATACCAGCTAATTTATAGTTTTCTATACAACATTTTGTAAGCTATTGTATTCTCATGAAGCTTTATCATTAAGATTTATTGTTGTTTTTTTTTGAAAAATTTTTGGGCACAGATGTGTTTTAAAGCTCCACTGCAAAACGTGCTATAGCTAGGGTGTCTAAACACTCCCGGTGTACTATCATAAATTGTTGTCCATGTGAGTAAATATTTATGGTAAAGATAATTCCACAGATTCAGTGTCCTTCTCTGTAAGGTGATTATGGTATGCTGCTACAATCTGTGTCCACACTAGCATTTTAGGATTCTAGGTTATGCCTAAATTCTATTATTTCATGCTGTCAGATTCTCCTCACCCCATCTCGCTTCTCTATCACCTTGACCATATCAGCCATGGGATTAATGTCCAGCCACTGTAGACAATGAAGTGGAGGAGAATAAAAAGAAAAGGACTGCATTTGAAAAACCTCACTCATGCATCATTAAGAAAAATAAAAACCTCAAACAAGCAATTATTGAATACTTACTGAGTCCAAACTTTTCTATGAAAAAGTAAAGACTCATATAGAAAACCTAAATGCTCTTTCTCATTGAGATTACTGGTATACATGTATTTACTTAAATTTTTTTTCAGTGAAGACAGTTCCAGTCACTACCAAGTTGAGTCCCTGATCTTAAAAATGTATAGTTTCAATTACTTCAGACATCAATTTGCAATAAAAAAAAAAAGTTTGTTTCTAAAATGCTTGACCCACCAGTTACGTTTTTTTAAATGACATAGCAGCTATTCTAAATATGCAAAAATATACAAACATATATCCAAATAACTATAGTTTTCTGTTTACATAATCACCTTAAACAGATGTTTGAGTTTTCAAATATTTACCTTCTTAGAATATAATCAACATAACAGTTCAAGAAATGTGAAATTGAAGTGAAAGGTGGCCTCATTAGTTAATTAGTTAACAGAGAAAAATAAATTATCAAATTATGGAACAGAAAGAGGAATAAACTCACAACACAACTGCCTCCTTTGTTTTGATTAAACACCTGGGATTCAACTAGGTTGTCTTCAAGCCTAACTTGTTATCTCCAAGAGTTTGTTCCACAGCCTTAAAGAACCCTAAACAGACAAGAGGGGTGTGAACTCTATGCCTCACTTCTTGCCAGGACTGCATTTCAAGGACTGTGATAAAGCCAGCCTCACAAAGAAAAGGAAAAAAAAAACGGAAAAAGCAGACATAGCCATTTCAGCTGCTCCTTTTATCAGTCTGCAGCAAAGGAAAAAAAAACCGTATTAACCTTTAAAAGCACCAGCCACTTTTGCTCAGCTGCCAGCATTTCCCATTACTTTCTCTCAGTGAGTGCCATTTTCATTTCTTTTCTCTCTTTCTCTCTTTTTTTTCCTCTCTCTTTCTTTCTTGGGAAAGTAAATAAACTTTTTACATCTTTATATCCTAATCTTTGTGAGAGAAATCTTTCTCAACCTGCTCCATGAGCTCCTCGTGAGTCTTCACCCCAATGTGAAGGATTGAAAATAAGATTCTTTCACCTTGAATGAACAAAAATACTGTGGAATAAAAAAAAATTACAATGCTGTACTGCTATATGAGTAGTAAGTAGTAAGATAAAATGTGTATGAAAATAGAGGACTATGTGTCAGTATATATTTAGAGAGGATAAAATGTTCAAAATTATACAGCTTAAACTACATTTAACTCTGCTTTTCTGAGATTGGATTTTCTACCATGAAAGCAATCTAGAGTCACTACAATCTGAGATTCAATCACACACTGGATGCTAGCTGGTGTGCATGTATTACATTATTCATACCGTGTAAAGAGAAAGAAATAATTGACATAATTTCAGTATTCCATTTCTCCTTGGCCAGCTCCCATCTACTATGGTGTCTCTCTTTTACTTACTAATAATAAGATTAGAGAGAGAAGGATTTGACAGACGCCCCCCACCCAAAACAATCTCTCTAACCTAAAGAGATCTCCTGAACTCTAAACATATGTTTCAAATTGCCCATTTCTTTATTTCCTTAGATGTCATACAGGGATTTCACATTTAAAACAGAGTGCATTTCTTTTGCAATATTCCCCTTCTTTTACATTTTCCATCTCATTTGAGTCATTCACACTTCACTTTGTTGCGTATGCCAGCCTCCCGAGAGGCATGTACACAATAAGTCACTGTGTTCCAATAACTTTTCTGAACTCACCAGGCCCTTCTGCCGTCACTGCCACTTTCTCACTTCAAGTTTCCACACCCTCTTATTTCTACACACGGACTCTGGCACCAACCTACCGGCCTGTCTATCTGCCTCCAGAGGTAGAGATTCTGGTTGCCTTCTACCCTGACATCCCAATATTATTTCTAACGCACAAATCTGACCCTGCTTTGTTCACTGTCTGTATCGTCACGGAGCCATCACTGATAGCTCTGCTAGGACACGGTGGTCTTTTAGGCTAATTCCCCTGATGGCAATGACCACCCAGCGATTTCACTCCTAGAGGCTCCTTCCTGCTCTGTGAAATCTTTGCTGACATTCCCATTTTATAAGCACTGCTCTAGTTTCCATTCTCCTTCTATTCTCACGGAGGCCTTTCTCCCAGAATGTGTAACTTCAGGACATGATTGCTTGTTTACTCCTCTGTCTTCCCCTACAACACTGAGCTGTGCCCCACCCTGAGGACAGGGCTTTTCTTTGGGTTCATTTCTTAACCATTTTACCTCGCAGCATGTCACTTATGGATTCAGTATTTGTGGCTTTAATAAATGTTCAACAAATATTTATGATTGACACTAAATGAATAAATATGGAAAGACATATTAAATAAGTATTACCTTGAATTTATAAAATTCCTATTAATCAGAGACCATAACTAAGGCTTAATTTTCCCATATACTGCATGGGCCTTTTGTGACCCAGACTTCAAAGTTGCATAGCGCTACTTCCATTGTACTTGATTCATCAAAGTATACACAAGCCCAGCCAGATTCAAGGGGAGGGTACAAGGACCCAAACTCCTGATGGCATAAGTGTCTAAAAATTCAAATCCATTTTAATAAAACCACAGTCACCACTGGATGATGCTGGTGAACCAACTCATTATTTTGAACATGTATATATAAAGAAAAGGAACCACTTATTTGTCTTTTCTTACACAAACTGTGTAACTACGTGATCAAATAGTTGATGAAGAGAAGTTTCTCTTTATAGAAATATTCCAGTTAGTAAATGAAGAAGGATAGGATTAGAATATCACTATTTTGTAACTCCTGATGATTGCTGGATCCAGACATTGACCATCAACATCTGCTAACATGAAAAAAGGAGACAGACAATCAGATATGTTGTGTCTTCTTTTAGAAAGAAAAACACTGCTTACAAAGTATATCTGGGGGAATCTGGTGTATATAGATATAGCTATCAATTCATGGGAAATATAAGGAAGAAAGAAGAACATTTTAATAAATGCCTCAGGGATGCTATCAGGAAAATTCAGACTCAGAAACTTTACAGAATGAATGGCCTGGTTTCTTCAATAAACAAACATGGGCATGGGGGAGATGAATGGGAAACTATAGAGAGTTAAAAGTCACCTCAATCAATCTTCATGTGCAAACTTTATTCGGAGCCTGATTCAAACAGAGCATAAGAAAACAAAAGGTGTTTGTGAGACAATAGGAAATTTGAGCTCTATGTAGATATTTAGTTATATTCTAGTATTATTTTTTAAATTTTTTTAGATATATAATGTTATTGTGGTTGTGTTTATAAAACAAAAGTCTTTATCTATTCAAATCCCATTCAGAAATATTTATAGATGAAATGATAGATATGCTATGCATATGGTACATATATGACATATATACATAAAATCTCTGGGATTTGCTCCAAAATAATATAAGGGAAGAGATTGTAGATGAGAACAAATATAAGACTGTCCATGAATTGATAATTATAAAAGAACAGAGAGGATACTTTATGGGTTCATTATATTGTCTATTTTTATACTGAAATCTTCCCATAATAAATATCTATTTACAAAACATGTTTAACTAACTCACAGTAACCTTAAATAAAGTACAAACTCTTAGATAAATTCTATAGTTCACTCTTTGATCTGGCCCTTGCCTAGTTCTTCAGCACCACCTGTTGTCCTTCTCACTTTTCACTTACACGTAAAACATAAAACTACTTATAGTTCCCACAGTGGACTATGATGTCTCATACTTCCAAGTTTTCGTAAATTTCCCTTTATCCAGAATGCCAAGTCCCATTCTTCTTCACCTGGCAACATTCATTGTCAGTCACATTTACACATTGCCAACTGCATGTCTTCAGCTTCCTACTGGGCACTGGTGACACTGGCCTGATGGATGGCCCCCATTTGCTACTCCTGGCTGCCCTTCTGGCCTTCCCTTCCCTCCCTTCTGCCCTGTAAGGCTGACCCATTTGGACTGCATCAGTGGCTCCCTTGCCTTCCGGCTTTCGATTGGACTTCTCCAGATGGAGCCTCCAGCAGAAGATCCGAGGGTCAAGAAGAGTGAAGTCACTGTGTTTATGTCTTTGGCTCTCTCCCTGCTAGGTTAGTGTAGGTTGACTGCCTCCTCTTGCAAATATCACTTGTGTCAGGTGGTCCTTTCCAAGTAGTGCACTTTCTGCTATAGGTGACTGCCTGTTTGCCTTTGCATCTTCAGCTCAGGAATTGTTTCTCATAAACCTAGTGTACTATTTGTAAAGAGTACCTCCATTCAACTCTCCTCGCATTACCCAGTTTCAGTCTGTGATAGCTCTTTTGTATAATTAGGGTAATGCACCGGTTATTATACTAAAATATTATGCTAATTCGTAGAATAAAAATGTTTAGACCAAGTATACAGTTATAAACAAAAACCACCCAAACCAAAAAAGACTACAAGAAGAACCAGACACTGATACAAGCATGGAAGAAGAGGTCAAGAACATTTCAGAGAGGGGCAGCATGTGCAACGGCTTGGCCGTGCAAAAGCAGTGAGGGATGTTCAATGCTATGCTTCACTCGTGTGCCCACTTGAGCTAGAAAGCAGAGATGAAAGTGAGGCAGGCTGGAGAGCCAGACAGAACCTCAACCTTATAGGCCAAGTAAGGATTTAGATTTTGATCTTAAGAGCAATAGGGATATATCCAATATTTTCCTTGGCTTGCCAGGCCTAGGTAAGGGACCATCATCTACCTCTCAGACAATCTCTGAGAGCCTCTTAGTAGACAGAATTAGGAAGCTCTAGCACACAGTAACTATTTGATAAGCGTGCACTGGATCAGTGAATAAAGAATAAGTAAAACATGTATGAACAGTTTTAGGGGTGTTCCCATCATATACTAGCATGATCTCAGCTCCACAAATCCTTCCTTGCATATATCCTTCCTGCACTTAATCCTATTTGCTCTTGGCTGTGCGGCAGCTTGCAATTAACATAAAAAACACTGGTGATAAAGAAATACATATGTGTGTCACAACCCTGACAAGTAAGTCAATCCCAGTCCAATCTTTTATGCTGTGACAACCATTTCCTTCTAGAGAGGATTTAACAAGGAACATCAACAAATCAGGCAAAGAAAATTCTTGCCAAAATCACAATAGATTATTAGGTTAAACTTCCCTAATTCAAGGTGATTGAAGAAGAGCCATTTGGAATTCACAAGATGAGTGAATAAAGATATGTTTTGGTTTGTTTAGAACAACAGAAACAACTCTCTTGCTTTCATGCATAAGATATAGCACAAACTAAGTGCTAACCAAAGGTTCGGAATGGAAGCTTAATTTTGATGTACTTTACAAACTGACAGTGTGGCCTGATTTACACAGGATAAAATGATAAGCATAATATTATTATTATTTTTTTTGAGACAGTGTCTTGCTCTGTTGCCCAGGCTAGAGTGTCATGGCATCAGCCTAGCTCACGGCATCCTCAAACTCCTGGGCTCAAGCAATCCTGGGCTCAAGCAATGCTCAACCTTCCGCGTAACTGGGACTACAGGCATGTGCCACAATGCCTGGCTAATTTTTTCTATATATATTTTTAGATATCCAGATAATTCTTTTCTATTTTTAGGCAGAGATGGGGGTCTCACTCTTGCTCAAGCTGGTCTCTAACTCCTGACCTCAAGCGATCCTCCCACCTCAGCCTCCCAGAGTGCTAGGATTACAGGCGTGAGCCGCCTGGCCTTGTGATAAGCATAATTTTAATTGGCTCCCTGATGATTTAATTACAAGTGGGAATACATGGCTAAAACCTGCTTGAAAATACACTTACACTATAAATTTATTTTTTTAATGTAAGCAAACAAAATTAAAATACAAGGTGATTTCAATAATGTGGCAACTGAATATTCACTAATGTCATAATAATGATGTCTTTGTATATTCAGGTATTCTGTGATAATGGAGATTCCCATCTCATTCATAAAGTAAGAAAAATTAAATTGAATCCAAATAACTAGTTTCCTTTTTACCTAAACACTCAGTGAACCGAAAAAAGTAGCAAATGCTATGGTTTCTATGCCCGTGCTGGGATAGCTCTATGGTGTAATGCTTAATTAGCATGAAACTTTTTCATTCTGGTAGAAAATTAATCAGTAAAGTTAACAAATGATACTTATTTTTGTTGAAACACAAATGTGCATCAGTTTTCTTAGTGACGTAAAGGATGACCTTTTCTTCTCATTTGTCCTAAACAACTCTATATTTCATAAAGTTTATACATTGATAAAGTAGGAGAGAGAATTATGCTAAAGTTCTGTGAAGTAAGTAAACTTTAACTGTGACTAAAATACATTTCATTTTAATGTAAAAGTTGTGTTGCTCACCAAAGAGGCCATGGTGAATCCAATAACCTCAATGTACCCATCATCATGACGCTGAGGCTCAAAATCATGGTGATCTCCTGGGTTTCCCCAGGGCATTGTGCCAGCACAATATCTGCAAGATGAGATTAGAGACATAATTAAATATATTTCATTCCTCTCATGATCATCACTGAGGAGTCATTCGTAGTAAGACCCGATGTTTATTTAACATAAGAACAGTATTCCATTCTTAGTGCGTACCTTCCAATGGAAACTAAAATGGACTTCTTATCCTCTCCAAAATATCAACCCGTGAAAATGATCTATAATTTTACAACAAAAGTATCTTGTGGTATCCAAATTTCTCCTAATTCATTCTCACTCTATGATTCATATATCCCTGTTTTCTGTGATATGCCATGAATTCTCTATAGACAGTTTCAGAATTTGGTTTTGAAGGAAGGCAAATGCGTGCTAATAGAAAAGAGACAGTGGGTAGCATTTACCATTATATTTGTAATTAAAATAAGAAGTACCCAAGAGAAGGAGAAGGTAACCTAAGAAGAAACAGTGACAAAGGGATAGAATATAGTTAAGAGATTAGAAATCGAAGCAGAAATAAAAGAAACTGGAGAAATAAAGGAAGTGAATCTAGAGGGGGTAGGGAGAAGAGCAAGGAACAAAGGAGAGGAGGAGGGTAAGAGAAAAAAAAAATAATAAAGCAAGGTAATAAACAATGTTTACTGAAAATCAAGGCCTTTTACTTCAATTAGGCTGCAAATATTTCTGGAATAAGATTGCAACTGACTATAATGAGCACTGCTAAGAATAATCAGGAGACTATGATATGTTTTCCTAGCTGTTGATTTACATACAACTTTTATTTCAATTAAATTCAGTCTAAATAGGATGTATTTGCAGATTTTGTGTCTGAGTTATTTTGTGGGCAAATAACAAAAGGTTATAGATTCATCACTTCCAAAATCTCACCTTGGAAGTCTAGAATCTAATTTTATGCCGCTGAGATAATTTGCTTATTTTGAGACTAGTTATCTTAAATATCCCTTTCTCCAGAGGTATGTAATAGCACCAAAGAGCATTAGCATCCTGGCTAGAAAAATAATATTCTAATTGCTCCTATTTTTTCAAAGGAATCATCTGGCAATGATTTTGAATGAATTCCATACTTAAATCAAACTGGATGGTTTCTTTTTTTTGAGACAGAGTCTCGCTTTGTTGCCCAGGCTAGAATGAGTGCCGTGGTGTCAGCCTAGCTCACAGCAACCTCAAACTCCTGGACACAAGCAATCCTGCTGCTTCAGCCTCCCGAGTAGCTGGGACTACAGGCATGTGCCATCATGCCCGGCTGATTTTTTTTTTCTATATATATTAGTTGGCCAATTACTTTCTTTCTATTTATAGTAGAGACGGGGGTCTCGCTCTTGCTCAGGCTGGTTTTGAACTCCTGACCTCAAGCAATCCCCCCGCCTCGGCCTCCCAGAGTGCTAGGATTACAGGCGTGAGCCACCACGCCCGGCCTGGATGGTTTCTTAATAGCTTTCGGGAAACTGAGAACAGACATTTATTCAAGTCTATCATTCTTGGTGGGGGGAGAGAAAAACGGTAATTAAGAATTAAATGAAAATACTTCAATCAAGAGGGGTGTCTGGGTGTCTTAAGGATGGATATGTACAGACTATGCAGGACATAGCACACACTAAACCACTTACCACAAAGAACACTAAATAAATCAAGCAGGAGAACAACATTACCAGACCTAGAAACCTTTAATAAGGCATTAAGATAACTGAAATTTTTCTCTTATGAAAACAGATAACCTCAAGCCAAACAGAGTTCACATCAAACCAAGGAAACAATATGAACAGAGCTTACCTAGGTATATTTAAAAATACTATACACTGGAACTTCAGTTCCTGAATCTTTGGGGTGAGATCTGTTCCATCACACTGCAACAATCAAAGCAGAAAAAGCAAGGGTTTTGAAGTAGTCACAAGTCTAAAAAATCATCAAAGATAACTGGATTGACAACAGTATATACAATGATGTCTTTTTCCCCCTTACTCTGTCTCTGCTTAAGTGAATGCCGGTTACTATGATCGAAAATGTATTCCCATTATAGTTTTTCTAGACTCTGGGTTAAGAGCTTGCTTTTGCTTTGACTCAACATAAAAATAAAGCTGCCATTTGACCAAATAATTTTTTTCTCTGGTCTCACAATCAAAGGAAATACTGCCTTTCTTAACCTTGGATTATTATTATTTAGGCTGACAGCATCAACATTAAAAGATTTATGAACACTTAAAAGCATAAAAATAATAAAGCCTCAAGTTAATGCAGTAGCCTTTGCCACTATAGTCATCTGATTCAAAGAAGTCATGACTATAACCATTTATTTGTTCTGCCTTCTGAGACAATTTTTATTTTGAAAACGTTAAACATAACATTTTGAATACTTTTTCAAAGGTATATATACTGCAAACTTTTAAAAAGGTATCAATGATAAATTAGTATTATCTCCATTAGTGATTGGTTCTTACAAACTGAATCTCTTACAGTCTCTGAACTTCCAAATTAAACTGCTGTCCTGGAGCTTGGACATGGCTATGGGTCTCAAGAGCCCCTGGACAAATTGTCCTCAGTATTGACCTTTGTACGATCAGACTTCCCTGATCGGTTAGCACTTCCCTCAAGAGTATCATTCTCTGACTAATCAAAGAAAAGGCTTTCATTTTCCGTTCTCATTTCCCACTGGTGATAGAAGTCAAAAGAGAAAAACTCTAATCACATCTATAGACTTCTCAATGTCAAAGGTATAAAGCCTGCTTTTCTCTTTACTTTCCACACACCCTCATGGCAGATTTTCCCAATATCTTCTCCTTTGGAGAGAAGAGCAAAGCATTGCCAAGCTTCCTGCAAATTGTGAAAGATTTCTTTATGAGTAGTTTCAGTTTAAGCACAATGGTTTTGCTAGCAGTCAAGTTGACTCCAGAGCCCACATTCTTTTCCCTGCTGATCTCAGTGCAGCACAATTTTCACGAGAATTTCTGAGAAATTGTTTCCAGGAAATCTTAGAATCCCAAACAAACAAAATACGTTTAAATTTAATCTAGACAGGAATCAAATTCTAGACATGGATTGAAGGTGTTTTCCAGTGCTCTCAACTACTAAACAAACATGAGGTCTCCCAATTTATTCGATGACTTGAAATGAGTTTATAGATGACTACATCAATGAATAAAAACATGTACACATTTTAAATGATCAAAGTTGAGTGTTGTAAGCAAATAAAACTTCCAAAAAGTAGGATGTGATACATTAACAGCATGCAAAGCACTATTGTTGCACTGCAGAAAAAGACTATATAATAAATATTTTTTTTGTATTTAGAACAGAATTCGTTTTTTAATTTTCTACTTTTTCCTCCTTGGAAACATGTCAGTGATTCTGGGAACTCATCAAATAATATAAAACGAAGCACCTTACACAATGTATAGTGCTTTACAAAGTTTTCTTACATATAATTGCATTAAACTGTACAAGTCTTTAGAATAGCAGTTTTCAACTTTCTCTCCACTTAAAATATACACAAAGGAAAATATTTGCATACAAAATATGTTCTTGTGTACAAGCTCATATACTGATAAATAATAACAAGAAAAAATGAGGGAAGTAGAGCAAATAATGTAGGTTTTTATTATCGTTTTTTGTTTTCTTGGTCAAGTACTCAAATACACACTTTATATCTATTAATATATGAGATATTATTATTATTACATCCAAAACACTGATTTCATCCTGTAACAAAGATAAGATGGTCTGTTATTGTATATACATCTAATAACTCTGACTAATCTTCCATTCTTTTCATCTCACACTTAGGAAAACATATAGTGATGTCATTGTAGAAATATCCTGTGTCCCTCTGTGTCATAGCACAATGGGCAAAAGCGGTTGCTTCAAAGACTTGTCTTGATATGCCTATTTTACAGATCAGGAAAGCAAACTTCTCTGAAATGATTTCTTAAAAGTTGTATGTCAAGTAAAAGTAGACCTAACTATATCCCAATTGTTCTTACTTAGTTTCTAATGGTTTTTCCCTCCTCAGAAGATATGATTTACATAAATAGTCTACCTTGACTATTACACGTATTGCTGATAATCAAATCTTTCCTAGTTATTTGCTGCCATCTTGGCCTCTCTGCAAGCTTCCTTTAGTCTCTGCTGTATGGCCACCCATGTGTGACAAATTTATCCTCAAGAGAACTTCCAGATATGAGGGAGAAACTCTCCAGTGGTTAGGAAGTACACGGAGTTTGATGTCCACCCAGTGACTTGGACAGTGCAATGACATTCAACATGGCCACTGCCCAGCACTCACTGGCTCTCTTGGCAGGCACTACGGATGTTCCTTCCTCTAAATGCAAAGTAAAGTTGATTTTTGGCTCGATTACAGGCAGCTGAAGAAACAGGGGAAGTTTGGTGTAAGGTTGCTGATATTTACATTTAATAACCATAATTTTATCAAAGGAAAGATCTTCATAGTTCAATGGACCATGTGTCTTTCTTGTGTCTAACTTTAAGAAGACAATATTTTAGTTTTCAGGAGTCTCCACCACTAAAAAAATCCTTGCTTTTCATTGTTACTGTATGAGAACTGAAACATCTGAAAGTGATGTGAAGGCTTACTGGAACCGGTGGTAAAGGCCTTGGGTCTCTTGTTTCCACTGACTTAGATTCATGTCTCATATATGCTTTACTAGTGATAACAAATTTTAATTTGTATCCTCTTATGTTCCTGTATATTCCTCTATATTCTCACTAGCTTAAGATCATATATTTTTTTCTATTTTCAGGTATACACTTTGTTGTGGTCCCTCTTGTCACATATTCTCTTTCTTTACCTACACCATAAATTCAAGCACTGTAATATTCCCATTCTGTCTTTTCCATCTCTCTCTATTTTTTTTCTTTCTTTTTCATTTACTTATACAACTAAGTGCAACAAAGTCATGTTGGTCCTTTCTTTTAACCTGGTTACTATAAGAAAACATTTTATGTCATTCTTAGAAAAACTAATTATATTCTCTTTTAGAATATATCACCTAGAGAAAGATAAGTTTCTCTCTCCCTTGCCTCCAAGTAGTATATGTCTAAAACCTGGGACAGAGGCCTAGGAGGAAACAGCCCCCAAAAATCCACTCAGTGGTGAGGAACCTTGACCAGGTTGGAGAGTGAGTCACCACAAAATAATGAAATCCATGCATTGTTCTAATATGGAGACTCCTCAGACAGCCCTAGAATAAAGACATTTGTTGTATAAGCATCAATGTATACTTCAGGGCCCAGCTAACATCATTTCCTTGATGAAGCTCTCTCTGACCCCACCATAGTTAGACTTCCCCCTTTCTTCCACCACCATATTGTTCACATAGTTGAGTAATATTTATTACATTGTCTCCAGTGACCTATAAACCCTTCTCCGCAACTGAACCGTGAGTTTCTTCAGGAATGAAACTAGTCTTCATAGTTATCCTCATCCCCAGCAACGAAGACAGTGTCCAACATACAGGAAGTGTTCATAAATGTTGGCCGAATGAACTACACTAAAGGATCTCTAAAATTCTGTGTGGTCCAGTGATTAATCTAAAGATATAAACTGGTACTTGTAAGTTTATTTTTGCAGCATTCATATTCATATTCAAATGAAATGAATCAATATATTCAATACTTACAACAACTTTAACATGTTTGGATAGATCTCTGGAACTTCTCTGAAGGAAATCAGAAAAAGCTGCCTAGACCACAAGAAAATAAAGAAAAAGACATTCTTATTTACATGGCCATGCCAAATTCTTGCTTCCATATTATAGATAGTTCCAAATGATTCTAAATTATGCAAAAAATATAAAACAAGGTCCCTTCTTGCTAAATCCAAAGGAAAGCAGCACAGTGGCTATCAATTTGAAATCTTTCCCTTTGTTCCCAAACTACAATCTATAATAAAATTTTAAAGCACAGAACAAGAGTGAAAAAGCAGATAATTCCAAGGGTCATGTTGAAGACATATTTTGCCTACCTCTTCTGCCCACCCACTTGTCCATTAGGTGCTGATATAATCTTTAACTTGCCACTGAGGATGTCTTGTTTCGCCCCTTTTTATTTTGACTCCCTTTATTTAGTGGCATATATTTAAACTGCACTTTACCAATATTTTGGACGCCCTTTTTCCCCTTCTCTATTCACTTTCCCCAAATGTGCTTGAGAAAGAAAAGAAGGAAAATGAAGGTGCCCCTTTTCATCTCATATATGCTTCCAAGAAAAACTTCCCATGTTCTGCCAAGTTCGCATTCAAATGTCAATGTGTGTACGCCCCAGTGGAAACTACATTCTCACCTCAGACTTTCCTTCAGTCTACCTAATCTCCCCACTTTTTACGTTAGCTTTGATGGGTTGATGTTTGTTATTCACATCACTCTTTCAATAGCATCATGGAGCTTCAGAGATGATGAACACCAACTCTCTTTATGACAACTAAGTAAACAAATACACCCCTACTTTCATACTTAAACCAAGACATTAAACATTAACCATATAGGAACATATATATTAACATATGTGCTATTATTTTTAATGTAGTTAGCATCTTCGTTACAGTGAATTAATATTAAATAATACGTAATAATTATTAAATAAAATGTATACTTACCCCTGCATAGAACATTTTATTTCGAAAACGACTGTTGAACTTCTCTGGATTTGCTTCTGTGAAAGAGAAAAGGTAGTTTTGTTATAGAGACCTCGTAAGGTAGTGTCTTAGATTAGCATTCCTAATTCCTTCCCCACACCCTCCCCACCCTGCAGATCCAACAGATCCAACAACTCCGTTATCATCCATCTCTCCCGTAGTTCCAGGCCAGTTGGTACAGTGGCCCAGTGCTAGAGGGACAGTTGTCTAGTGCTACAAAAGTGTAGCTCCAAACTGGGAGCTAGAAATGCAAGTTATTGGGCCCTACCCCAGACCTACTGAATTAGAAGAATGTCTGGGTGTGTGTCTAGGAATTTGGGGGGTGGTTAAACAAGCTCTCCAGCTGATTCTCATGTACCTTAAAGGTTGAAACACTCTGGACTCACAGGGGTGTGGGTCTGGGATGCTGGGGAAAGGAGGCAGGAGGTGGAGGAGTGATTATCTGCTTTGGCTTTCATAGGGCCTGTCTTCCATAAACCGTGTGCAGCTTCCAGATGGGGAATTTGGATAAAAACTCATGGATAATCTGCTTTCACAGTTTTCAAAAACTCTAATCTAACCTCAGTTCTCTTGCTTGTGACAGGCCTTGAAAAATCATTCTGTTTAGTCGAGAGTACACACACACAGACACACAGAGAGTGAGCGAGCAAGCGCGAGCACACAAGCACACGAGAAAGCGAGAGAGCGAGGGCACGTGAGCGCCTGCTGAATGGACTCAGGGCATATTATAGCAAAGCTCTGGGTGACAAATGGTTTAATTTTGAGCTTGCTCCTGCATGTTATATAGGTTGAGGACCCACAAGGATGAAACGAGAATAAGCATCAAAGATTTTTTCACATGAATTCAAGGGATTACAAATTCCCTAAATGAAATATTCCCTCAAGTGTCTCTTTCTAATAAAATTCCAAGACATTCCAAAAGAACGTACTGTCTACATTTAGCTTTCTGCTATTTTATCCCATTTGCTCATGAATTCCTTCTTGGGCTAGGTCTTTCTCTAAGTTCTTTCTCATTAGGCAGCTGGCCAACCTACTGAACCTCTCCAAATCCTAACCCTGTTTTTGAATGGCAATCCCCAACTACTGTTGTCTAGATGAAGAAAAGTAGTAAAGCATTCACTTACTAAGACTGGGCACAACTAAAGCTATAAGACCTTAAGAAATAATCTCCTGGACAAATGATTATTAGATTATTCTCATGATAATTAGAACATAACATTAGCACATAACATGAAAACTGGGTAAAGGACTGTAAACCTTAAAAGAATAATATTTTTGTAGATTGGCTCTTGAGGGCTATCTTCATATATTTACAATTTCTGTATTCTAAAGCTCTCTTTAATCATTTACTCTATTCTACAAAATTAAGTACTCTAATCCTAGATACAAAATTAAAAGGTAAAGGATTCACGAATAGGGTATAGTAAATAAAAAGAAGTATTAAAAATATGGTATACCATACCAAATATGGTATACCATACCAAATATGGTAATACCATACCAAATTTGGTAATACCATTAAAAAATGGTATTAATTGCTCTACCTCCCTGATCTCCCATTCTTGGCCACAGAGTTGACCATTTCCATAGTCTAAATCTTCCTTCAGGATAAATGTGGCTGCTGAATGACATATTGTTTTCAACACATTTTGAACAGATTTGGCTGAATACCATTTTCAGTCGCATTAACTATTTCTTGCTTTATGGAGCCAGAGGCAAAATGAGAATTTCTTTTGCTACGCAATTTATCATAAGTGCATAGGCCCTAACTTAAAACAAACAAAAAAAAGTCATATCCTATTACCAAGCAAGTTATGAGAAATGGAAAATGGCAGCTCTGGTTCTGGCAAAGAATTTTTTCAGAGCACTTATGGCCACAGCTATTAAATGAATCATATACCAACTATTACATGTACTTTTTTTTATAATTTATGGTTTGGAAAATATTGCCATCTTTATGAGGCTTCCTTAATGAGCCCTGAAGAATTGAAAAACCTGGTTTTTTTAAAGAAATAACTTTTTTTTCCTTAAGAGATGGACTACTTTTTGAAGACCAAACAAGATTAAAATAAAAATAAGAAGTAAACTAAGTTTTTGGTGATTTCACTCATATAACTTATGTAATTTAACTATATTAAATTCAATGAAATAAGTAAACCTAAAAAAGAGAGATTGATCACAACCCTAACATTCAGAGAGGTGTCAGGAAGACATAGCATAAAGAGCTGGAGGAGTCACATATATGATTTGGCCTTGGGGTTAGAAGGGTGTGAGGGAAATCCCATCAGTGCCTGGACAGCAAACCTATATACTGTACTACTGGATACCAGATTGAGCTTGTCTTGGCAATTGGATCCTTTGACTATTTTTATATCTACCCTATTTCAAACACAAATGAGACTCAGAAACAAAGGTTAGCTGGCGCTAAGACAGATGTCTCAGCTTAATGTCAGAGCTTTAGCACCTCCTGCAGAAGCCAGGCAAAGAGGAAGCCAAGGACAGCCTACAAATGACAAATGACAGTGCTCCTTCACGTCCCATTGGCTGTTAAAAGGAAGGGGTTGCAGGGTCGATTGTGCCCATGTGTATACAAAAGTTGATGTGTCTTTGAGGAGGACCAAAGTGTGCAGGACCCAACCGCATCAACAAAGGGTGGGTAAAGAATTGGGAAAGGGACAGTAAGGAAGCTCAAATGATCTCATTCCTCCAGTAAGCTGTGTCTGTTCCTTGGTATGAGGCATATCATCAACAGCAACTCTCAGGAAAGGCTACCAATACTCAAAATATCACAAGACTCCTACAGTGGAAGTATCCATGGCTTATTGCTCCAGTTCCCAGGCTGCCCATTCTCCTCCTTCCCAACAAGAGGCTATGGGATGATCAGATTCAAACACTCACTGTGCAGGTCTCTGCCACTAACCTATTTGCAATCTATCAGACACCAACAGTAGCTTTACTGGTTTTCTACTCCTACCATGAGAAATCACTACAAACTTGGCAATTTAAAATGTCCATTTATTTTCTTACAGCTGCCCAGGTCACAAGTCTGGAGTAGGCTGTGCTTGGCCCCAGTCAAGGTGTCATCCTGCTCTGGAGAGGACTCACCTCCAAACTCCTTCAGATTGTTGGCAGAATCTGTTTCCTTGTATTTTCAGGACTGAAGTTATTTCTTGCTCGCTGTTGGCGGGATTCACTCTCCCCTTCCAGGGGCTGCCTGCATTCCTCGGTTCCTGATCCCTCCATTGTCAAAGCTTGCAATGGCACAAGTCCTTCTCACATTTTGAATTTGACTTTCCCTTCTGCCTTCCATTGGGCCCACAAAAATAATCTAGGATTACCTCCTCCCTTAAAGCCAGCTTATTATTAACTGTAATTAATTACATCTACAAAGTCCTTTTGCCACGTAAGGTTAACATAACCACAGGTACAACACCAGATGGTAAAGGTCATGGAGGCCAAAATTCTACCTGCTATTGTCTACCCTCTGGTCCCCATGACTCACTCTCTCCAAGGTCCCCAGAGATCTCATCTCATGACACCATCAACTCAAAATCATCTAAGTCATCTAAATGATTTGGCTCTGGATGCAACCCATTTATCATTACGATGGTGCTCTAGGTACAACCCATTCAATTGATTAAATATATTAACCCCATATTTATATGCAGCACAAAAACATGATATACGCCATCAGAACAGGGATCTTAAAACCCTGCTTTTGCCTAAATCCTTTTCAAATATTTATTTCAGCCTATCCATCAACCTCTGGGTTTGGGAGGATCTCATACAAACATATTAATTATTTAACATGATTTATTCATTCCTTCTTCCTAACTAAGCTCTGACTCCCCTTCCCCCTTTATTAGCTCTTTTTAATGGCCCTTGCAGACTCTTTTCTTTAAGCCAGGCTAATAGCCTTCCAAACAAATGTGTCTTCAGAAAAGCAGGAAGTCACATGATTTTCAGAGTGTTTTCTGCTTACAGAAAGTGTATGGCAATTGGTGCACACACATTCACACTGCATTTGCATTCCACACATATATCATTTCTATGTTTCTAGCCACCAGAAAGGTACACATCCAATGACTGTTAGTGTTGCAAAGGGCCTCAGAGGTTGGTTAGCTCTCAACACAATTTGCTATGTTTCCTTCCCTGAGAAGCTTGCAGATAGCAGTCCCTTCCCTTTGTTCCCCTATAATCATTCCCCTAGAAAAGAACGTAGTTAAAAAACTTCAGGGGAGTAGTAGTATCTGACTCTCCCGCCAAAGGTCTCCACCCAAAATCAAGTTCCTCAACAGCCTAAATAATGCAAGCTCAGGAAAGAGTGCTCATGAAACATGTATTAATTTATCTTCTCAGTATTTTATGAATTAGCACAAAATGACTATAACTTTTTGCATGACAAAGAATCTTTACTTTTAAATGATGATCAATACACCAAGTGATAACCTATAACAAATTCTTGAATTCTGCCATCTAGTTATTTTGATTAAGAGAAACTAAAAACAGCTCAAACAATTAGACTAGGATCTACATTAGCAGGAATGGATTACTTTCAGGCTGCTGCCACTTTACACAGGTTATAAATATCAATTTACTACTTTTTCATAGATAAAGCCCCTGATCTTTGAGAAAGCATTAGGGAAAAAAATTATTTAATTGCTTTCTTTCTTAAAGAATTGGCCTTTTACTAGATCTAAGAAAGAAAAAGTCAACATTGATATATACGTTGCTTGAACTATTATAAAAGGCATAATAAAACAAATAACATACTCATTAAATTTCTAAGAAATGGTACATAAAAAGTAGAAATTTTTAGATGTGTTCTAAGTCTGTACACAGAAACTGGATTTACTACTCTCCAACAATAGTTGGTATTATATATACATACTATATAATATATAGAAATAATATAATGACTTTTCATAAGACTATAACTCAAGCTTTGCTAAGTCTTCATATTCTATGAGGGCATCTTAAATGCCAATCCATGAAATACGGGCTTCTTTCTTCTTCT